TGCATAAAACATAGTTTCTCTAATATCAACGTGCCATATACAGTATTACATGTTTTGCTAATAGTCAAAACATGACTAACTTCACGGACAGAGAAGCTACCATGGCGATTCTAGAGGATCTAACGTCCAATGTGAAGCAAATACAAGATGAGGTATTGAAAGAGATACTAACATGTGATGCCTACACAGAATACCTCCGAAGTTTTCTCCATGGGAGTTCGGACCAATGTACCGGTCGGGACCTATGAAGATGTTAAGCCTTACATCGAACGTGTCGCGAATGGAGAGCCCTCAGATGTCATCTCGGGAAAGCCTATTATTGGATTCATGTTAACGTACGTTACATGTTATACGTACGTCACTCTCTTAGATGTAGGTTTTACTCAAAAACATTAATTGTTGACTTGTGGCTTGTGTAGGTCTGGAACTTCAAGCGGGAAACAAAAGCTAACACCTTTTAACAACAAGTACTTTGAGAACGCGTCATTCATATATCATGTCTACTCCGCCGTATTATCCAAGTAACTAATATAAAAGAGTTTCTAGCCTAAAATTGCAACAAATTGTTTATCATATGTAACTTGTGGTCCGAATCCGACAGTTTTCTTGTAGTGTGCTATGTATGATAAAGATCTCTTTTGGTTTGTAGGCATGTCGGTGGTCACAACCAAGGAAAAGGGTTGCTACAGTTCGTCTTCACTAAACCAGCCTCCACAACTCCTTCTGGTTTGCCAGTTTCATATGGTACTAGCTTCATGTTCCAGCGCGAAGATTTTAGGACTAATAATCCATTCACAAGTCCCATTGAAGTCATACTGTGTCTTGACAATAAGCAGAGTCTATATTGTCATCTTCTTTGTGGTCTTGTCAAGAAAGATGAAGTTAATAGATTTGGTGCAATCTTTGCTTCTGTCTTGGTTCAAGGAATCATTTTTCTTGAAAGGTTTTGGAAAGAAATGTGCGATAATATACGATCAGGTCTGCTCAGTGCTTGGATCACTGATCTTAGCTACAGGGACTCTGTTTCTTTGATACTTGGAGGTCCAAATCCTGAATTGGCAGATCTAATCGAAGACATATGCAATCAAAAATCTTGGAAAGGTATAATCCCTAAACTTTGGCCCAAAACCAAATATATTGAAACCGTTGTGACAGGGCAGATGGCTCAACATGTTCCATTATTGGAGTTCTACGTCGATAACTTGCCTATAGTTTCCACAATCTATGGGTCTTCTGAAGCCGCGTTTGGGATGAATTTGGATCCTCCATGCAAATCAGAAGATGTATGCTACACACTGATGCCCAATATGGCATACTTCGAGTTTCTATCGGTTGATGAAGGAAATGACGCAATTGTTGACCTTGCCAATGTAAAGTTAGGTGAATACTATGAACTTGTAGTCACCACTTATTCAGGTGAGTTATTTATACAAGTACTATATTCTACATAAAAATGGTACATGTTCTCAATTAAATAATCA